AATTGTAAAGACTGGGAAAACCAATTAGCATGATAGCAAATATTTCAGAGAATATAAAAGAGCTTGTTATTCCCTCCTTTCATGTAGCCACAAGCTGAGCTACTAGAAAGCTGACTCATCCCACTCATGGATGAATGAAGAAGAGAAAAGCTTGACTGTCCAATTGGCCAAAGTGTCCCCAAGGCAGAAGTAATGGTCAAGTCAAATAGGGGTTCATCCTTAAGAGCAATAATACTCAAATTTCCCCATATCCTAGATTTGCCCCCTCATTCATTGAATCTAGATCCACATGTCTTGTGTGTAAGTCCATTTCAACATCATATTTTGGTGAGTTTATAAGAGCATGTTGAAGGTTGCCTTTTAGATAGATGATCATTGCTCCGAAGAGTGAGAAAACATAGGGAGATTATCATGCCTGATTTTTTTGTTTTTGTTCTTGAAGTAGTTTATGAAACCTACCTACAAACAAACAGTAAAAGAAAAATAAACAAAGTTAGAATAATGTTAGAAGTCATCCCATAATTTTGCATGATTTAATGTTTCAACAATTGCTATATGGATTCACACATTGTCAATTTCCAATTCTTAAGGAGCCTCGGATGAAGCAAAATATCTTTGAACGCCTTGAGATTTCCATAGACTCCAAGGGCTATAGAAAAGGCACTTACAAGCAGTCCAACATGCATTACAAAGATGGTCATTCATTACAAAGTAAAAGCCTAGTACATCACACTAAGTACATCAACATGGTAGCATTCAAGTCCCTAGCAAATCTAACTCCTAGATCTCTCAAAGTATGATTGTTCAATGAGTAGTTGCATTCCTTTCCTTGGAGAATCCCTTGATTGCTAGAGCCATATAAAGTGCAATGTGCTTGAGCTTTTGATCTTCAAGGCTGCTATTGGTTCTTGTCCTTCTAAGTTTGCCCCCCGGATTTGGCAATTGTGAATGATGGGAAAGAAATGCTTGTAATTGGAGATCTCTTCAATCCTCTATTGGTCAAAACTCTCTCCATGGATGAATATTTCAAAAGGTGTCTCGACTGACAAAGAATTGCACTTGACCATGTATGAATCCATATTTTAATTGTTGAAGGTAGAGAATCAAACAAGATTATGGGAATGCAAGACAAGAAATAAACATGGATGCTAAACAATAGATGAAGGATGAAGGAACATAAATATGCTCTAAAGTGATAATGTGTGTGTGGTTGTATCCTAAAGCATACATTTTTGGGAATGCAAGAAAAGAAATAAACATGGATGGGAAATGAGAGATAAAAGGATGCAAGAATATAAATATGCTGACTGATGCACCAAATACGCACTACTTTTAGGCAAGTGAACCTAATCGATTATGCAGTATAAGATGAGTAAGATATCGTTCCCTCGAAGACTATCCTATAGTACCAAGACACTATTAATCTAACCTAAGTTGAATTAACCAATTAATAGGGAGAACTAAACTATTTAAAAGAAAACTAAGTAAACTAAAGAAAATTAAACTAA